GGATGTGGGCTGTTCTAGTTTTAGGGAAATGCGAAGTTTAGCTCAGGATAGGAAAGAGTGGAGGTACGTGTCCAACCAGTCTTAGGACTGATGACCTTATGATGATGATGATGATGATGATGATGTATTTGTCGTATGTCGATGGACAGAAGGAGATACAATCTGATAAGTCCAAGCTCTCAATGACTCTACAGATACTTTAGAATTAATTTTAAGATGGCGTACGCATACCTGTTATCAAAATTTTTAGGCACATCATGTTTGAGAGTTTAGCTGTAAGTTTTATTATAAGTTTGTCAGCCTGGGATTAAGGGACTCCTATTTCTTTTTGACATTAATCTTACCAGGGCTCGAGAAAAAAAGCAACGACGTCCCTGAATTAGTAGCTATTGGCTTTGGCGCCATAAAATGTCCCCAGTTTCATAAATGTGAATAGATCTATGTGTCGAAGTGGGTGTTAATTTGTATCGCATTAAAATTTATTAATAGTGGACTGCGGTGTACAATAATAATTCCAGATTTCTCACACGGAAAGTGGCAGCGATATTCATTCGACTGAACAATTTCCCATAAATAAATCGTTAATGACTGCTCTCCGCCGGTTCTTGCATTTGCACTATCGATACGTTCTTTCTTGGACAATTATAAATTACTTTTGTTTGCCGAACAAATGAGCGTCTATTCTTGTACCAAGAATGCCGAGTACGACCGTGGATAGTGCAGCACCTGACAGGGACGGACAAACACCTAACGGCGCGGCGAGGTCTAAAATCTAGAAGTTTGGATCATAGTTTAGCATTCGGGAAGATTCCGGAACTGTCTGCCTACCAGCCACCTTGTTGGGAATGAAGCAAACAAAAGTTCTTAAATTTGGACAACCCACGTTTTGGATAGCTACACAAGCATAACCATAATTTATCTGTATATTTAGAACGTTCTTTTAAGCATACGACTGGAATGGACTCAAATAGTTTTGTGCTCGTTCCGTTATAGTCTATGATTCTACCGTAACTTGGTGCAGTATTATAGATCCAAAACCTTTCCTGAAGCGTGGGTTATCTTGCAAAAAAGAAATTTAAAAAATCTACCTTGCAGCCATGTAGGAAGTGATGGCAGGACTAAGCTTGCTCCATGCTTGTCCTAAGAATACTCAATTCTGGTCCAAGATTGGCAACTACTATTGGACCAAGTATAGCAAACGCCTGGGTTTTACTTCGGCCCACGCCTGGTTGGCAAGCTTGATCAACGACTAAAGAGGCAATGCTAAATCAAGAGTTGGTGAAGCTTAACCGAACTTTGGTTATACTTGACTGCTCAATATTAGACCAAACTCGACGAAATGTTAATGTACCTAGCCTTGGCATTTGAAGCTTTCCCAAACAATGTACCATTACTGGCATGCTTGGTTGTCCGAGTATTGGACCAAACTTGGCGAAACGTTAATGTACCTAGCCTTGGC